CAATTGTCTTGCACTGAGAAGTTGCTCAATGTTTTTTAGGAGCGCCATAAAGTTCTAATTTTTTTTAATATTGCCTGGAACCAGCACAAAAGTCTTTTTTCAGTGATGTTTAAAAACAGAGGTCGTGAATTATTACACCTTTGGGTAAACTCCCTGTAAAGTAAGTAACTTAAGGGGTTGCCGTAATTATACACAATAAAACCGACGAGTAACTAAATGTACATTCAAAGTTTCTTTTAAAAATATTTAAAATTTAAACTGAGGCAACAAATTTTTAAATAGCATTCTAACTTATCGAATACCCGTCGATCGAACGGGCGGGCACCCAGGTACCTGTTAAAATTTTTTTTTTTATATAAAAGGTCGTAATTTTTATTTTGTTCGGAACACCGAGTAAAATTTTTCGTTTATCTACCAAATAAATATTTATCATTTTCTAATTTGTATGTTCAAAATTAATAAAAGTATTATTCCAAAAACATTTAATCCGTTATTCAAATCAAATCAGAATAAATAATTAGTTATTCAAATAACGCCTATATATAACCCAAAATTTATTTTGCGGCATTATGGTACCGTTTTGCTTCGTCACGCAAATATTGAATAAATTAAAACTAAGGATTCTGGGATCGAAATGCGGAAATGTATAACAACGACTATTCAGTAAATTCAGTTTTTAATGCGATCTCTCGATAAATTTTTTAATTATTGTTTAGTGTTTGTGAATTTTCATGAGCTGATTAAAATGAAAGTATTCATTTTGATCATTTAGTTTAAGTTTGACATTTTAAAGCCTGATTACTCTAAGTTTTTATTTTAATCAGCAAATAAAACAAAAAGAGTTTGACGATGTCAGAATAATTTTATTTAGCTCTCTAAACAATGACTTAACAGTCAATGTTTAAATTATATTTTTAAAATAAAAATATTAAAAATATAATTTCTTATTTGGTACATAAATTTCTTTTTAAAAGATGCGACCAAATGAAATTAGTGCATATAAAATGTCATGCCTGGTTTTCTCAAAGTACTGTTGCTGGAAGTAACTCCTTTTAACTACTCCAGGTCAGGTCAGGATAATCGAGATCAATCTTGCTACTGGTATCACGTAACCCAGTACCACCTGCCACAAGCCCTGCTGCCTTGCAGAGTGTGCTCTTCTTATGCAAAGGCTAGGAGAAATAAACTCCGACTAAAAATTCCCCTGCCTTGGGGCTCTTTGTTGAGTAAAGGCTAGAGATGGTGTCTCGATAAAAACACTCATCTTGGGCAAATGTTAACTGCATCCAGCTACTGTCTTGTAGAAGGCCTCCTAGGCAAAGACTTTAGGGGTAAGCAGAAAAATTTTGCTAACCAGCCTCGAACCCCTTCTTCATCTACTAGGCTGGCGTAGATGTAACCTGTGTTACATTGTTTCCTGCCTAGGATAATGAATGCTGGATCTCCTTGACTCTACTCATAGAATTTCGCTTATGTCTCCTTGATAATGGCTATGCAACTCCTCCTGTTATGTCCATATGAGGGTACAGCTCTAAAACTCAGTTTAATGGTTCTGAGGCCGGCTGGTAGGAAGGTTTTCCGAACTCTGTAGTAGCTCTCAGAGAGGCTGATTCCATCAACAGCTGCAAAATATCAGAGTATTAACAGTGCCATGTTGCGCATGGATGGTGTCCCTGTTAATGCTTTTGGTGTGCATTGTCAAGGCCACATAAGGAGCCCTATGTCACGGCTTAGGGTTAATTAACAGGACTGAGACAACTGCATAGCTCATTGATTAGGAGGCTGTGCTCTATCTATGAATGAGTCTAGTTCTCATTAAACCCAAATCATGACCAAAGTAAGCGAAAATTTAAAACCTAAAAAACCATCCCCACCACCTAAATATTTTAATATATCTTTTACAAATATTCGCGGTCTACGAAGCAACTTTCCATCAGTTGAGTCTTACCTGCTGCAAAATTCACCAGACTTGCTTGCACTCAGTGAAACAAATTTAAGTTCTGCAATTCCTTCTTCAGATGTCAGTGTTGATGGGTACTATCCTTTGATTCGTAAAGACTCCAATAGTCACATGCTAGGTTTAGGGGTATACATACGCATTAATTTCCCTATTTGTCTTGAAATCAGGTTCGAATCCTTTGACCATTCTTTTATGTGCTTTCGCCTAGCACCTCTTCACTCTATCACCTTTCTCTTTGTTCTTTATCGTTCTCCTTCTTCCCATGATTGCACTCTTTTAGATGTTATCTCTGATCAAATTGACCATGCCCTCTCTCTTTACCCCTCTGCCAATATTGTTGTTGTTGGTGATTTTAATGCCCATCACACTGAATGGCTTGGCTCTAACACCACTGATCCTGCTGACACTAAAGCCTTTAACTTCTGCGTTTCTCAATCTCTTACTCAGATAGTTAACTTTGTGACTCGTTTTCCTGACAACCCTAATCATTTACCTTCACTCCTTGACTTATGTCTTGTCTCTGACCCTAGCTTATGTTCAGTTTCTCCCTTTTCTCCCTTAGGTGGTTCTGACCATGCAATGATCTCTATAAATCTTTCTTCTCGTACTTCTTTTTTGAGCTCACCTTATCATCGCACCTCCTACTACTACCCTAAAGCTGACTGGGATTCCTTTCGTGATTTTCTTCGTGATGGTCCTTGGGCTGATGTTTTTTCTCTCTCAGCTGACAAATGCGCCTCCTACGTAACCTCCTGGATTCAGGCTGGAATGTAAGCTTTTATTCCTTCTCGTTCTACTCCATGGTTTTCTCCTTCTTGTGCGGCTGCTATATCCAATCGTAATCATTTTTTTCATCTTTTTCAAAAGAACAACTCTCTTGAGAACAAACGGCTATTTATTATTGCAAGAAATCGATGTAAAAAGGTGCTTTCTGATGCTAAACTCCATTATACTCAGTTCACTAAATCTCGCATCTTATCGCAGAAGTTAGGCTCTAAAGACTTTTGGAAAATCTTCAACAGCATTGTTAACAAGAGTAGATCTAACATTCCATCTCTCATTCATGGGATTGATCTTGTTACCTCTCCCAGGGATAAGGCAGAACTGTTTGCAAAGAACTTTTCTTCTAATCCCACTCTTGAATCTTATGGACATTCTCTTCCTTCCATTCCAGTCAAACAGGTTGACCCATTGTTAGACATTCAAATCACTCCGGCTTCTGTTGCTAAAGTCATTTCTCAATTAAACTCGTCTACAGCTTGTGGTCCAGACAACATTTCTGTCACAGTCTTGCAGAATTGTTCTCCAGAACTTTCTTCAATTCTCTCTAAACTATTTAACAAGTGTTTGACTGAGTCTTGTTTTCCTGCTTGTTGGAAAATGGCATCTGTGGTTCCAATATTCAAAAACTCTGGAGAAAGTTCTGACCCCTCCAATTATCGTCCGATCAGTCTTCTTTCTGTTATTAGCAAGGTCTTTGAGTCTTTGATCAACAAATTCCTCACATCTCATCTTGAGTCAAATAAACTGCTGTCAGACAATCAATACGGTTTTCGATCCTCTCGCTCTACGGCCGACTTGCTAACTGCTGTAACTGAAAGATTTTATCGTGCATTAAATGGAGGCGGTGAAGCTAGGGCTATTGCTCTCGACATATCTAAAGCTTTCGACAAAGTTTGGCATGCTGGTCTTCTCCATAAGCTTGCTTCATATGGTGTTTCTGGGAAAGTTTTTGAGATTATCAAATCATTTCTTTCTAACCGGTTTATTAAAGTCATCCTTGAAGGCCAAATATCTTCTTTATTTCCAGTAACTTCTGGGGTTCCATCCTGGGCCCTGTTTTGTTTCTTATCTACATAAACGATCTTCCTGACAACCTTTCATCTAAAGTAGCTCTTTTTGCTGATGACTCAACTTTATATTCCTGTCTTGACAAAAAGTCTTCTCTTTTCGATCGCCTAGAACAAGCAGCTGATCTTGAATCTGATCTCACTTCAGTAATAGATTGGGGTTCACAGTGGCTTGTGAATTTCAACTCTAAAAAAACCCAATTGCTTACTGCAAACAACTACCGTAATATGGTCAACATTCCTATATTTATGAATGGCAATCCTCTTACTGAGTCCTCCTCTTTACGTCTTCTTGGATTATCGCTTACTACTGACCTTTCATGGAAACCATATATACAATCGATTGCTAAATTAGCTTCTGCTAAGGTTGCTTCTCTTTATCGTGCTCGCCATTTCCTTACTTCTGATTCCATTCTCTACCTCTACAAATCTCTTATTCGTCCCTGTATGGAATACTGTTGTCATATTTGGGCTGGTTCTTCTAACGATTCTTTTTCTCTTCTTGACAAGGTCCAAAAATGCATTGTAAATGTTGTTGGACCTGGACTATCTGCTAAGCTTGAACCTCTTTCCCATCGTCGTAAAGTTGCATCTCTTTCTCTTTTCTACAGATACTATCATGGTCACTGCTCAAAGGAGTTATCATCTCTAGTTCCATCAACTAAAATTCATTCTCGTTTTACTCGTCATTCAGCTAAGTCTCATTCGTTTACTGTATCTGTTCCCGCATGCTCTAAAAACTTTTATTCATCTAGTTTTTTTCCTCGCACTTCAATTTTTTGGAACTCTCTCCCGTCTTCATGTTTTCCTGACTCATACAACCTTCAACTTTTCAAGTCTTCTGTCAACCGTTTCCTTGCTCTATAACTCTGTTCTTTTTTTTCTCCTAGTAACTCCCAACTTAATAGTGGTTGCTTGCAGCCTTGTTGGAAGTGAATGCAAATAAAAAAAAAAAAAATTACAAAAATGTTTATGAATAAGTTGTAATCCATAATTTTTAAGAAAGATTAAATTTTATTTTATTTTTTTGTATTAGTACTTGTATAAATGATTACACAAAGGAATCTTTATAAATGCGTAGAGAATAAAAGTAAAAATGCAATTAGCAAAAAGAATAACAAAATAAATAAACTGCTAAATTTGTAAAAATGAAATTTTAATTTTACAAATAGTCTGTAAAAATGAAATTT